CAAAAACACCTTCCTTCCCCCCATCTGAGCTCTTCCAGCTCCTCCCCCCGTGCAGCGCAGGGGAACAGGGGGACTGGACTGGGGGTTGTGGTCAGTCTGTAGCACTTCATCTCCACCACTCCTTCTCGGTCCCTCTCTGCCCCTGCTCCACGTGGGCTCCTCTCCACGGGCTGCAGCTCCGGCCCGGGGCCTGCTCCTGCGGGGGCTCTCTATGGGCCGCAGCCTCCTCCAGGCCACAGCCACCTGCTCCACCGGGGGCTCCTCCACCCATGGGGGGGCTGCAGCGTGGAGATCTGCTCCATGGGGGACCCATGGGCTGCAGGGGGACAGCCTGCTCCACCAGGGGCCTCTCCCTGCACAGCCCGCAGGGGAACTGCTGCTGCCTGCCTGCAGCACCTCCTGCCCTCCTGCGGCGCTCACCTGGGGGGCTGCAGGGCTGCTTCTCTCACGCTTTCACAATCCTCTCTCCCAGCTGCTGTTGCACAGCAGTATTTTCCCCCCTTCCTTAAATCTGCTCCCCCGAAGCCCACCCAGCAGCACTCCCTGCCTCGGCTCTGGCCAGCAGCAGCTCCTTTTTGGAGCCATCTGGAGCTGGCTCTGCTCTGATGCTGACAAGATGGGGCTGCATTCATTTCCAAACTGGCTGTCAGAAAGGCCTTCACCTTTGCATTACATTGAGGCAGCGGTGATCTCAGCCTTATTGTAGTTCTCTGCGTAATGTAGCTCCCAAAAGAGATCCCAAGGTCCAGAACAGACATGGAAATAACTGGGGGGTTGTAAGGAAAACAATTGTATTCCATCCTACAGCAACACCAGAGCTGTCTGGAGAGTTTAGGAGTCATCTGAATTTTGTTATTTGTGTTTGATCTGAACTAAGGAAGAAAGGACCAGTTACTAGAAAAGAATGCATGCCTGACAATGATACAACCAGATGGGAGGCTGTTTGATCTGGGTCTGTGGGTTTTGGATCTGTATGCTGTTGAGGAGCTTGTTGGAATTCTGATTACAGAATCAAGAACCTCCAGAAAGTGCAGGACGCCAGTGCTGGATGGAGAGCACGGCTCACACTTTGACGCTTCCTGGGACTGCCTAGCACATTAACAGGTCTCGGCCCCAAATGGCTGTGCTTCAAAAAGGTTTCCCTCTCTCAAGCATTTGCTGCTCTGCACTTGCTTTTCTTTCACTGGACAGTCAGATCAATTGGTTGCTTTGCACTTGGCCATGTTCCTTGGAAAGCTGCTTAAACTCTCTTCAAAGCCTGGACTACCTGGGAATTGATTGCTTCCTCTAACTGGCACTGATGCTGTAGCTGGATCCCTCGAAATCCCATTTGACTGCTTCTGCTTCCTGAGCAGGTGACAGAAACTTTCACAAGCAGAGAGCAGAGAAGAAGGAGTTGGAGTTCTGCATAGGGGAAATATTTGGAAGTTTTGAAGATGTTTCCCCTGCTCAGCTGCCAACCCTACGTTAACCAATCACCTGATCTTTTGCATTCCAGTGTGAGGAAGGTTTTAGCAATTCGTGTCAATAGAGAGCTTGGAGGGAAATGCGTTCCTTTCATACATGGTAAACTTTGATTCTTGCCCTATTTGCAAGACTGAGCCATTTATAACACCAGCAAAAGTCTCAAATCAGTTAGGAAGAAAGTTAGTTCTGAAAATACTCAGTCACCTCTGTGCATGCCAAACCCTTAATGGCACTGTGCAAAACGCAGATTGCAGTGATGAATCGCGTTGTGGAATGAATGGCAACATACATATTTGGCTCCAGATCCAAAAGGCCACTTCTTTGGCCATTTTATTTAGGGTAGCACTCCCCTCCCCTCCCATTCCCTCCCTGGCCCATTCGTTACTTCCCACCAATACCCACCCCCTCCCTCCCCTCCCCTCCCCTCCCCTGAATTCCCCTCCCCTAAACACCCCTCCCTAAACTCCCCTCCCCTCCCCTAAACTCCCCTCCCCTAAACTCCCCTAAACTCCCCTAAACCCTAACTGTCCCTCCACTAAACTCCCCTAAACTCCCCTAAACTCCCCTCCCCTAAACCCACCTAAACTCCCCTAAACTCCCCTAAACTCCCCTCCCCTAAACTCCCCTCCCCTAAACTCCGCTCCCCTCCCCTATACTCTCCTCCCCTCCCCTAAACTCCCCTAAACTCCCCTCCCCTAAACTCCCCTCCCCTCTACTCCTCTAAACTCCCCTACACTCCACTCCAATCCCCTATGCTCCTCTACACTTCCCTCCTCTACACTCCCCTCCCTACACTCCCCTCCCTATGCTCCCCTAAACTCCCCTATGCTCCCCTAAACTCCCCTATGCTCCCCGAAACTCCCCTCCACTCCCCTAAACTCCGCTCCCCTCCCCTAAACTCTCCTCCCCTCCCCTAAACTCCCCTAAACTCCCCTCCCCTAAACTCCCCTCCCCTCCACTCCTCTAAACTCCCCTACACTCCACTCCACTCCCCTATGCTCCTCTACACTTCCCTCCTCTACACTTCCCTCCTCTACACTCCCCTCCCTACACTATCCTCCGCTACACTCCCCTCCCCTACACTCCCCTAAACTCCCCTCCCCTACATTCCCCTACACTACACTCCCCCAAACCCCCCTACACTACACTCCCCTGCACTCCCCTCCTCTATGCTCATCTCCCCTGCACTCCCCTCCCCTGCACTCCCCTCCCTACACTATCCTCCCCTACACTCCCCTCCCCTACACTCCCCTACACTCCCCTCACTATCCTACACTATCCCAACACTATCCTACTCTAGCCTAATCTCCCCTACAATGCCCTACATGCCCCTGCCCTGCCCTGCCCTCCCCTCCCATTCCCTCCCCTCCCTTTCCCTCCCCTTCCCTCCCATTCCCTCCTCTTCCCTCCCCTTCCCTCCCTTCTTGTCCTTTTCTTTCCCCCTCTCTTCTCTTCTCCCCTCTTCTTCTCCCCTCTTCTCCTTCCTTTCACGGATCTGAATGCAGAAGGGGGAGAAGCGTAACTCCAGATCGCTTCAGTCGCTCTGGCAGCTTGTGTCACTGGCTGATCCATGGGAATCCATCAGCAGCAATCGGAAGCATTCCAGCTGCTGTGGGACCAGTCAGGGAACAGTCTCAAACTGGGAAGCGCTGACTTCCTTCCTTCAGCGGCTCAGACAGGTGACTTTCAATTTCGCCCTGGCTGGGTTGTGTCCCCTTGCTCTGTCCCCACCTACACTGCAGTTTGGTTTAGAAGCAGCAGCACGGTTTGGAAGTAGTTCCACTACTTCCATTTTCGGTGATTTGGCTTGGCTCGCCAAGTGGTTTCTGTCAACAGAACACAAGAAGGAGATTTTGCTTAGAAACAACTACACGAGGAGCTCCTTTCCACATGGGCAATGAATATTTA